TCTCTTTAGGTATTTTTTAAATAAATGAGACAAGATATGTATAAATATATTCCCTACACATTTTACATGAATTTCGCTCGTGTACTAATCAATAAAATCACTTGAATTACTTTCCCTGATTACATTCACAATTATTCATCTCTTCCGTTGCCACATGTCACTGCGCAGCAATTTTCTTTTAAAATGTTATTGCATATATTATTAACCCCTGCAAATGGATAATAATAATAATGATAATAATAATTTTCAGGAAACCCCTTTTATGATTTTGCGGTGCAAGTAGGTAAAGACATCGAGAAAGGTAAGTATCCATAATATTGGTTTATTGATTTCGTTTGTAGACAAATGTATTAAGTACATATTCGAAAACATGTTTATTAACTGATAACATATTTTGAATACTATTTTACTAATGTTTTATCACTTCATTAATTGAACTTTTTTGAGTGCATTTTAAAATGAGTACGATATAATTTTAATAAAGCAAAAAGAAATTTAATATGGTTATCAAACTACTTGCTGCATGCAAATTAATCGAGAACCCGGTACAGATAGGGTGTGGTCAATTTTTTGTCATGAAATCGTTTTTTAGGAGCATTACGTCTTCTTGAAATTAGCATTAACGTTTTATAAGCATATTCTTCTTAACATAGTTTGATAAAACAGCAAATACTTCAATTCAAATTTTGAAAAATGTAATCATATTTTAATATTGACAATGACAGTAAATTTGCAATAACATGTCTTGATACTAATATGCAATCTGTTATAGATGAATTGGAAAACATGAAGGTGTTAAGTCGAACATATGTGGAGAAAGGGCCTATCGAAAAATTGTCTGCAACAAAATTAATAGTATACTTGATGGAATGTGGTTTAATTAAACCAGAATCGAATGATTTTCATAAATTGCAAGACATCTTACGTAAAGCAGATAGAACTGATCTTGCAGATAAGTTGCCATCTATTTGGAATTCTTTAATGGAGGTGAGTATATTTGCTTCAAATTAATTATTCGGAGAAGCATAAATACTATGTTAGTTGATATAACAATTTTCACTTACATTCTAGCGTATTTCCACTGTCCCTGCGGATACAAAGGTCAATCAATCATTGGAGGTGAACGGATGTGACACAGTATCAGAGGTCACAGGCAAAATAACTGGTAACAAGGAAAACAACACGAACACAGGTCAAGACGAAGATAATACAGTGTGAATGCTATTAGGATTCCAAATTATGATTATATTGTTTTTATTCTTCTAATATGTTTCTTTATTGTCATTTCAATTATTATTAAGTGTAGGTGTTACTAATTTATCAATAATAATGTGTCTGTGTTACTCACTTTGTACAGTTTTCATTATGTATATGATTTTATCAACAGTTGCAATTCATAAAGATATCATGTGATGAAGTGATTACTATTATACGGTCATTAATTTTATTTTTATTTTGTTATAAAACATAGTTTTTGAAGACACTGAACAATTCAAATGAACTTGAAAATGTACAATTCTTACTTTTCACGGTTGGGTTTTGAAAGGATATAGATAGCGTTATCGACGTTTTTTTAAAACTTCATAGAGTAAAATGTTGCGTTCAATATATTATGAGACAGATGCAGAATTTGTTAACAATTGTTATGATGTTGAGCATGAGAAATAATTCTTCAATGTATAATAAATATGTACTAAATTCTATTTCAATTTTAAGAAATCGGGATAAGTTTGCGTTTGATTAAATCCACTGGTGACGGCACAATCACTATTGACAACCAATTCCAAACTCATAGGAAGAACAGTTTTCTGAAAAAAACAAATCGTGAAATATTTAGTTTAAGACTATTAGAATTTAGAAAAGTTGCCAAAATACGTTGGGCTTGACAAGCTTTTTATTTCATTGAGTCGCCGCAAGGATAGATAAGGTGACACTTAAAGTGGTACAAACACACGTTGCTGATGCCACTGTCAGGCGCTAGAAAAACAATTACATGTACTGATAGTTCGTTTTTTTGTTTTATTTAAAATAATAAGGCAAGCATGACAAAATTATATTCATTTATTAACAGAAATACATTTAACAGTTAACAATAATACCATGTCAACACGATGCGGATAATCGCGAAATGTTGTAGTAATGACATTGTCAAATAAAATTCAATCGTCGCATATCAACGATTTTGCCCAGTGGCGATCACCCTGAAAGTCGTGAACACAACTGGCAGTAAATATTTTACAGTTTAGATAGACTATAGACTGAAAGCAAACCTTTTCCACTAGTTTTAATTACTTTATTTTTACCAGTCTTGCTGGTAGTAAACACTACTTTCAAATACATAAAAACAATATACCAGTAAAAAATTAATCAGTATCTAAAGGTCATGCTAAAACTAAAAGAAAACCGGGAGGAGTTGGTGTATATGGCGTAACGTTGAGCCACATTAAGGAGACTGCATCATACTTGTATATGGATACCTGTAATGTCATGGATATAGGTACAGGCTGTTTTGTATTATTGTCAACAATTGTAACGCTGAGAGGTGTAATTATCCTTTCATAACATTCACTTTGACTGCAAGTTTAAATGTGACTCACTGATCGAATAAATCTTTCCTTGACCGGGAAATATATGTTCATAATCTCCACCCTAAACATGCAAGTTGTTGGTTCTAAACAATAGTGCAACAGCGTGTGAAAAGAATGTGACAAATTTGAACTGTCGCCTAGTTCAAGTGAAAAAAGCAGAAATTTTAAAACATTACCGAGTTACATATAATTTTAGGAATTATTCTAAAAAGCAGCACATTAATTAACAACTCTTAAAGACTCTTAGAACCATGTGGGGCAATATCATTCCCATCATATTCCGTACTCATGAACTTTTTATAAACTTAAAAAAAACCTTAAGAAACTTCAAAAAGTATGTGTTTCAAATACTTCGTCTACTGTTTAAATTTACCATCATAAAGGACCTCAGAAAGTTATTAAATATCAGTTCAAAACGTAGAATACGGGCATTCACATAAAACAAAATTCAACATCACAAAAAAAATCATAAATTCGACAAGAGGTAGCATGCATAATGTTACACAAACTAAACAATAGTTCATAGATGATAAAGTTCATCGTTGTTGATTCCAGCATGTGTTTTCTATCTAAGTGGCATTGGTATTAACGTAGAGGAAAATTGATTCTCCAACACGTGTTATGAATAGGGGCGGATGGCACTTGCGCGTGGAGGTGCCGGTTTCGACCCACAGGAATACGCATTGGTTCATTACAGGCCAGCTTTATTCTTCCAAACGATCAGCTGAGGTAACTTTTCGCTGTCTACTTCTCTCGCTCTTCTCTCTGTTACCAAAGGTTACTAACTCTCTAAGAGGTGGCGAAGTAAACATGCGATTAGCCAATCGCTGCAGTCGTTGGCACGACCACGTAATTACAAGGTGTGTGTCTCACGGTTAAAGACTTGCAAAATTGCCACTACTAATTACAATAAGTAAACAATCTATTTATATAATTCCTGTAATATATGTTTATAATCTCCACCCTAAACATGCAAGTTTGACGCGCATCTCCAATAGAAGCGAACATAAAGAAGAAATTTAATTAGACAAACCCCTGTTATGTACTACTAATAAAGCAAATACGAAACATTGGAGGACTATGTTGTACATGTTACTGTAACTGGTTATAGTTAGCTAACATGGGTTTACATCTCAACTACGATGAGTTCAGAAATATGTGTGAAGAGCAAAATCCAATACATTCAATATACAATCTGCAGTGGTATCAACTTTCTTCGTTTCAAAAAATACACAATTTATGGCAATTGTTGTTTATTCTACAGTTAATGTTGTAATACTGTTTCTTCCCGAGCTTCAAGGGTGAGCATCCTGTAGCAAACAAGCAGTTGCCATCACCATCTAGACCAAATGCTATGAGTAGTTAAGGACACATTATAGGGAAGTTTGAATAATCATGATGTCACAATATAATCCATGCAAAAACTAGTATAAATTAAAACGTCACAATAGAATCCGTACATAAACTAGCATAAATTACGACGTCATAATGGATGTGTGCGTTGATTAGCATAAATTATCATAAATTACCATGGACTGGAATTTCAATAATTATGACGTCAAAACAGGATTATGTGAATGAAAATGGCATAAATTAAAGATTTTAAAATCGAACGAGTAACGACGACTTCATTAATAAATTATCATAAATTAGCGTAAATTATCATTTTGTTTTTAAATCGTACGAGCAACGACGTCACACCAAGCAAAAATTTTATGATTGAACTGTAGAGGACGCTCACATACAAAAACGCTAAAAATACACGGTGTTTTGCATACTAACGGAGTTTATTACATACAAGAAGTAGAATTGATGAAACAGTTACATGGAGTATACATTTACGGCGTGGGTAAATGTTTATTTTGAGTAAGTACAAAACAAATTCGATTAAAAAACCGAGTGTATGAGTGCTGTATGATTTCTCGTGTAGTTAATGATGATTCTCGTGCTGCGACACAGACTCGGGTTTGACTTAAATCTCCCAAAAAGCACACGAGTATAGCACATGAAAAAATCGCCGACGAATTCTCGATGAACACGCCTAAACGCTGTATAACAGGTGGCAATTTTCTCAATATCTATTTTGCGTAAAGCCTGACGGATGTATTGGTGCAGCTCATTAATCTTTGTTTCATCATCTCAAATGAGATAAGATAGACAAAGATGTTGTCGTTGGGACCTGTGATTGATCTGACATCCTACACAGTTGATTTGGATATTTTCTCTCAAGACATAACAGATAAGTGAATAGATTATCACTTCTTGTGGAGGATTCAGCAGTTGTAGAACAAGTTGGACCTTTGGTGATAGATGATATTGAACTGCCCGCTTTGCGAGACACACGTCAGTTGACCCAGCGTATCTGGATTTTAGAATGAACTGCGTCGACATGGTGATGTGACAACTGTGTACCGGGGTCTATAGCCTGGCCTTGTTCATGCGATTGAGAGGGTATCTTAATGTTATCGTCACATAGACTCTCTGAGAAGTCATAGTCATTAATGTATGATTGGAACTGCTGAGATGCCATCCCGATCGCTCACTGAAAATTAATCTGAATGGTTGTGCAATGGTGGGGGGGGATTATAATCCAATAAATCGTATTTCATCTTAAAAGCATTGTTTAGGTATCATTTCGCTATGATATGGGGGATTTATGTCCATTTCAATATACCATAATTTTTTCGCTATCAGAAGCATTTTTTCGCCATGATAATCATGACTTGTTTTGGAATTTAATGTTCTCAAATGACCAATTTCATACATTGATATTGTAATGTTTATACCTAATACCAGTTTTTATTGGGGAGTCATTTCTTTATCCACATTCTTTTGACCATCCATCCGTCCATTTTGGATTTTGCGTTTGCCGAAATTTCCTCATTTCATAACTGTTAATTTTAGCCATCTATCATTTATTTTGATGCAAATGTCACTGGTAAGCAATGTAATTTAATTTTTTTTTTCTTCAGAATTGTATTTCATGTTTTTCGACGAGAATTCATATTTCAAGTTTGTTGTCAAATCTCATCCATTGCGTTTGGACATTCATAGGTTGAGAGATTTTTTGAAATTTGTTATTAAAGTGGTGCTCGATACATTTTCTGACAACGCAATTTCTGATTTCATACTTTATGACTGTTTTGATGTAAATTTGATTTAGTGTGTAATTTATGCATTTCCATCTCGTGCATAGACTGTTAGCCGAGACCGAATTAATACTATAATATTGTAGCTGTGTATATTTGGCGGTTGTCTAGTTAGGGGATGTTTCGATTGTGTATTTTTTGTTGGATTATTTAAAAAAAACGTTTACTTGTTTACTTTGTCCACATTTTTATAGTATTGTTGACCATTGTGAACCTTACAATATATTTTCTAGTGAGGTTAATTACTTTGTGTTATTTTTATTGTTGTTGACAATAGTCAATCCTGAGTGTACAGTAATCTCTCATTGATTGTTTTGTATACTGATGCATGCCTGTAAACTGTATTGATTATTATATGAATTAACATATCTGACTCAGACACAGAACACGAGGTACAAACCTTAAAGTTGATCCAACAGCTGGAGTCAGTTGTGATGGAAAGAGATGATAGTTGTATGGTACAACTTGACCCATCTTTTAA